CCGTTTCTTTTAAAGAAAAGAAATCGTACCCGTTCCGCATAAAGTAGCTCTGTTTGTATAACATATTCAGTTTTATTTTATATATACTGCAGTTTCATTTCAACACAACTACAGTTTCATTTCAATATAGCTACAGTTTCATTCGACATTATACACTCAAATATGTGAAACTGTTATTCAGTTTCATTTTATATAAACTATAGTTTCATTACAACACAACTACAGTATCATCATTTCGATATAATTACAGTTTTATTGGACAATATACACTCAAATATGTGAAACTGTTATTCACTTTCATTTTATATACACTGCAGTTTCATTTCAACACAACTAGAGTTTCATTTCAATTCAATTCAATTCAATTACAGTTTCATTTTATAATATAAAAACAATATGTGAGACAGTTTCATTTTAGATACACTGTACTTTCATTTTGTAATTAACACACCAAAAGTACGGACTCAATTTCATTTGATAATATAAAAACAATATGTGAGATAGTTTCATTTTATATACAATGTACTTTCATTTTGTAATTAACACACCAAAAGTACGGGCTTCGTTAAAATGTAACGTCAGCCGTTTCTTTAAGTAAAGAAAATGCGTCATTTTTGGATCATGGTCCACAAAGCTTTGTGGACCATACGATATAATTGATGATTCAATCGTTATGTTGTGCATCCGTATGCACCGTGCATAGTGCATACGGATGCAAAAACGACGTCATTTTGACATCTAACTTAAAAAAAAAAATTATTCAGAATTGCATAACTACACATCCATAATTTCATAACTATAAATCCAGAATTGCATAACTACACATCCATAACTTCATAACTATACATCCAGAATTGCATAACTATACATCCATAACTATAAAATCCAGAATTGCATAACTACACCATGCATAATTACACATCCATAATTTCATAATTATAAATCCAGAATTGCATACCTATACAGCCATAATTCCATAATTAAAAATCCAGAATGAATGAACTAAAAAATGAACAACATAATGTTGTTGTTGGAAATCGAAATTAATTTTTTTTTAAAATAGGACACGTGTTTTGATGCAAAATGACGTCGTTTTTCATCCGTATGCACCATGCATGGTGCATACGGATGCACAACATAATTTGCCTTGTTGATTGTGCCGTAGTCGGGCTTGTTTATTTGGTAGTTGATCAACATTGTAAATGGATCCAACATTTGGGCTTGTTATAAATTGGGATAGAAGCAAAAAAAAAAAAAAAACAAAAAAACAAAAAAAAAAACAAATAGCAACTTCATGACCTACCGTCCACTAGGTTTCACAATAGTTATGCTGTGCAACCGAATGTACCATGCGCATGGTGCATACAATGCAAAACGATGTCGTTTTGACTAAAAACGCGTGTCCCACTTTTAAAAAAAAAAAATTCAGGTTCGATTCTCGGCAATAGCATTATTGTGGATATATAGTTATGAATTTCTGGATATATAGTTATAAATTTGTGGATATATAGTTATGAATTTATGGATATTTAGTTCATTCATTGTGGATATTTAGTTCATTCATTGTAGATATTTACTTCATTCATTCACTGTAGATATATAGTTATGAATTTATGGATATATAGTTATGAATTTCTGGATATATAGTTATGAATTTATGGATATTTAGTTCATTCATTGTGGATATTTAGTTCAATCAATGTGGATATTTAGTTCATTCATTGTGGATTTTTACTTCATTCATTCATTCATTGTGAATTTTTACTTCATTCATTCATTCATTGTGAATTTTTACTTCATTCATTCACTGTGGATATATAGTTATGAATTTGTGGATATATAGTTATGAATTTCTGGATATATAAAAATGTTATTGCTGGGAATCGAACCTGATTTCTTCTTTAAGTGGGACGCGCGTTTTTTTTTTTTTAACCAAAACGGCGCCGTTTTGCAACCGTATGCACTTTGCAAGGTGCATTCGGTTGCACAACATAATTTGCGTAAGTTTGATTGCAGTAGTTATACTATGGACCGGTGGATTCAAAATATAGGGTGACTTCTCAATTTGATTGCAGTAGTTATATTGCAGTAGTTATATACTGAATATTTACAATTCAAATTGTGACTTCTCATTTGGGTGGGAGAGTCAAGATGCTATTGAGCTACAAGTTACTTGGCAAAAAAATATAGGGTAAATTTTAATTTTGATTCATTAACTATCTCACTTGTGTTAATTGTAACACTTTAACTTTCAAAAATGTTAATTTTTAGTATCTTGACTAAATAATTTTTATCAATTTTGGTAACGTCGGCAAAATTACCGGTCAAATGTGACCGAAATCTTTTAATTCATTTTATTTTTTTTTTAATTCAGGGGCAAATTAGTCATTTCCTTCTTCTTTCTTCTTCTTAAATTGTCACCGGCCAAACTTTTGGTGGTGGCGCGTCTCTCGACCTTCAACTGCGAGTGAGATTTCTCTCTTCTTCCTTCTTTAAATCCCACTTTCTCACTCTACGTTCATATGTATAGATGGAAGATTTCTGCTTTGGTCAAGCATTCCACTTCTCTTACAGCCTCCACCTACGAGAATACTTTCAGGCCGACTAATTTGCTGTCTCACCGCGAATTTTCGACTGTTACTTGTGGATGCTCAGCCGACGAGTAAAAAACTAGAATGTGTAGAAAAGCTTGGGAATTAGCCAAAATATGTATTGACTTTTTTTTGACAGAAATATGCAAAACTCTATTGAGAGTTGCGTTTTTGAACGTATTTCATCCGTATTTTTTTTTTGTTAAATACAGAAAACGCAACTGGTGGTTGCGTTTTCAAAATACGTAGGGAATACGCTAAAACGCAATTGGGAATATCTGCCCCTCTGGGAAGATTCTGAAGACCGGCATGGCCAGCAAGGCCACCAAGACAGATGTTTTGGGGTCCGGCACGGGGAATTACGGCCACGGGAGCATAATGCGGGCCGGTGGAGCGCCCAAAATCGCGGGCCCTGTAGGCGGTACGAACAGTAGTGTCGCCATTGCCATGAATTCTAGAGGATTAATGATTGGCGGCGAGACAATGAAGAGAGGAATGCGGAGTAATGATCCGGAGGAGATGAAAAGGCTAGGCAATGAGCATTACAAGAAGGGTAATTTTCATGAGGCTTTGAATCTTTACGAGAAGGCAATTGCGATTTCGCCTGGAAATGCAGCTTACCATTGCAACCGTGCAGCGGCATTGATTGGTCTAAAGCGGTTCACAGAAGCAGTGAGAGAATGCGAGGAAGCTATTAGGTTGGACCGAAATATGTTAGAGCCCACCATCGCTTGGGATATGTCTCGCCGGTCTTCGACTTCGCCGGCGACGAGGAGTACAAATACTTCACAAAAACGCAACTTGGTTTTGCGTTTACGTATAATACGTAAAACGCAAAACATAGTTGCGTATTGTGGGATACGGTATTGCCGCAAAAACGCAAGAGCCTATTGCGTTTTACGTATACAAATACGTAAACACAACTGCCTCTTGCGTTTTCCACGAATACAAGAAAAATACGAAATACATCTGGTAGGGAATATCCCGACCGACCTAGCTTCACCACGACCGAGGAGCCTTTTGTCTTTTTCTCCTTGTCTCTGCAGGTAACAGGTCGGGCTCCATGAGAAGAACCCGGTCGTAGACCGACCAGAGTTACCCGAGCGGCGGTATCGACCACCGAGCGGCAGCCCTTTGGCGAAAGAGCTGACGAAGGACACGTGGCGGCTCTTTACATCGACAGGCAGGGCACCCAGGAGGATGGCACGTGGTGGCTACGTGGAAGACATGCCGAGCGGCTGGGATCTTGTCTCCGGCACAGCGGCTATAAATGCCCACAGTAGCAACAGTGTAGGGGACTTTTGGACGATCGATAGGTTGTTGTTAGAGAATCCCGACCGCAGTCAGTCGGTACTCAGAGCAGCCAAATAGATTGTACTTAGGGCCTTTACCGGGATCAATAAAGATTCTACTTGCTTTAATCGGTCTCGTGTTATTTATATTGCTTACGTAGAATTAGCAGTATCAACATCAAAAACGCAACTACGAATGGAGTTTTGCATATTTTTGTCCAAAAAAAAAATACGACACATTTTGGAATTTTTTCCTTGTTGACCGCATATTTTTGTCTTTTCCCCCTCAGACTAAGGGGCATGCAGTCCACAAGGAGACTATCGGCGGGTGAGGTCATGGGGCCCATATTCTGGAGAAGACGCAAATAACTTTTATTTTTTTTAAACGTAAAATGACCGTTTTACCCCAAGAATAAAAAATTTAAAAGGGTTTAAGTTTTTTAGGTCACATTTGGCCGGCAATTTTGTCGGTGTGACCAAAATTGATAAAAATTGCATCGTCAAGGTACTAAATTAACATTTTTGAAAGTCAAGTGTTGCAATTAACACAAGTGTAATAGTCAATGGACCAAAATTATAATTTTTTAAAAAATATACATACCAAGAATATAATATTGGATAATATTCTACGCTCAGAGTGCTTGCTTGTATAATAGTTAAGAGGTGCGTAAGTTCGCATTAGACACCAAGTGGCTTGTGGTCCATTGGTATTCGGTTGTTTCCTTATGTAGGAGGTATAAGGTTTGAGCCTTAGTGTAAGCGTGAATTGTATGTGTGGGTTTTCCCATCCGTTAGTAAAAAAGAAAAAAAAAAAAGAAAAAAAAAGTTCCTACTAGACCCTTAGCCTACAACGTACCACCACTAGACCCAATTGCGCTTTTATTAAATAGCCAATTTGAGTACAATTGGAGTGATTGACTGCTCCCACCACTCCAATGCCTCTAAAATGGGACATAAATAAGTAGGTTTTGTGTTGATTTAACAAGATTGGACTAATTAATGAAATGAACTAACTACTAAGTATGTGATGGGTAAATAAATTTGGAGAAATCATATTGACAAAGTTGTCCTTATAAGTAGTACTTTCAAGTCATTTGACTTGTGGACAAGCAGCATAAGTGTGTGATCACTATGGGAAAAATATTAATTCTTTGGGGACAGATAAAAATAATGATGCTCCACATGTATAATACAACACAAATTATTAGCATCATTGCATCCTATATATCCAATATACAATTCGATGACACTAATTAATGCTCTAAGGTCGCAGAATGCACGCCCCCATTATTGTTAAAACCAGTCTCCGCAGTGTAGTGATAATCCTCAACGATTATCGTTCATCGGAATCTGGTCGGGGCAAAGAGATGAGATTCAAACAGCAGCCCCCACCACCACCACGGGATCATCCGTCGCCAATTTGGAAGAATAATGTATGTAAACCTCAAACGTTGTCGGCGGTTCTGCCGGAGGCGATTTCAACCGTGTTGTTGGATTCATTTTCGTCCCAATTGGTTGTGCGATAAAACATTGCATAAAGTACGAGTTGTATCAATCCGGACAGTGCTCCAAGCCCATTCGGGATCTATTATTAATTAAGATTGTGTTTTTAAGGTAAGTAGGTAGAAATATCTGATCAATTTTAAAACTCGAAACCCGAAAATTAAAAAATAATAGAAGAAAAATTACATACCAAGACGTAAGGATCCAATTTGATGAAAGCGTAACAAAACCACACACACCCATTGGCAAAGTTGGCAAGTGACAAGTAGAAGGGCATGTATTTCACACTTTTTGTGGTAATAACCCGCTTCTGAATAACAAAAAAAAAAGTAATATAATAATGTTAGTTTTATAATTTAATGTAACATAATATAATAGTTTGAGGATTGAAGATCATACGTACCATGACCGTCAAAGGAGAGGTATACATAAGAACATTGAAAACGATACACACAATTCCGATGAGTGCAGATCTCTTCTTGGTGCCGTGGAGAACCGTCAAGGTAATAGCGACGATTCCGACAAAGAAGACGATTTCCCCTAAAAGTACAATCACAATCTTCTTCTGAAATAATTGCATTACAAATTATTCATGTTAATTACTTACTTAATTACACCTATCATATCATGATCTCAAAATTAAATATAAAAGAGAGTCACTAACTCGTTGTTTAGGCTTTGAGTAGATGAAAAAGATGATGATATACACAGCTTCAATAACCAGACCGGCACCATTAATTGTGACGACTAGCAAGCTATCAGGATGGACAAAGGGCATTCCATAGAACACCCACATCGCACAATTTAAAATCGTCGCAAGATATGGGTCTGCCTTGAAAGCTTGAACGGATTTGGATTTGATTATTTTGGCGAATGTGGGACTGTAAAAATCAAGATTACGTCAACACTAAAAAAATTATTATATATATAATGCGTAAATTAAGAATAATAAAAGGAATGAAATTTACGCTGGGGAGAGGAAGAGGAAGCATGATATGATATTTCCTGCAAAAATATAAATGGAAATAATTAATTCAAGCTAGAAATCAGTATATATGTAGTTTAAGATAAAGGTAATTAAGTTAAGGAGGTGAGATTAAGATGAGAGCAGTAACTAACCTACAATACCAACTATAGTTCGTGCGAGGTCTCTGTTCACCATGATGAATTAGTTAATTGTGTATTAAAGCTAAGAATGAAATTAAAGAAGAGATGAGATGAGATGTGAGAGTGATGTGAGTAGGTAATTTAAAGAAGCAAAATGGGTTGATTAGCAGTTAACAAGGTTTAAGGATCACCGTAGAAATGAAGGCGGTTATTCTCAGTGGATAAGTTTGTAGATAAAAGGGCATATCCTTAGATAGATAAGGCAGATAGGGAAAAGGTCAAGGTGTAATTGGATGGCCTGGATGGGTAGATTATATATATGTATATATAATATATATTAATATTAATTATGTTAGTTATATTGCTTGCACGCATGCATGCATGCGTCTCGCACTCCATGTTTTAAGGGTTTCTTTGTTTTCAGAAATCCGCACTCCACGCATGTATGCACCCTTTAGTTCTCATCTAATTAAGCATTATTGTCAATTTGTCATCTCATCTTTCTTGGGAAAACCTTAACCACAGATCAGAGGTTCTAATGCGCCTCCATCTGATCCAGGTAGCTAGCTTAGCTTATCTCAAATGCTATCTCAACTTCTGAACAAATGCATCATGATTTACTAATGTCCCATGGGCCGGGCAATACTTATTGTGTGGACCACGGTCCAAAAATGACATCGTTTTATTTAATTTTATTTTTCACACATACAGCTGCAACGGCAAATTATACTGTGCACCAGGGCGCACAGTGCATGTGCGCCTTGGCCCAAAACGACGTCGTTTTGACCTTTTCGCGTGTTTGCTATTAAAAAAAAAAAATTCATGTTTTGAAGGTTCAAAATTGTATAATAGAAAACACAGAATTTTATACCTGAAAACACATAATTTTTATAACTGAAAATCCCCATGTTTCGAATGTACAGAATTATATAATAGAAAACACATAATTTTTATACCTGAAAACACATAATCTTTTTTAAAAAGACAAACACCCCTGTTTTGAATGTACAAAATTTTATACCTGAAAACACATAATTTTATAACAGAATACAAAACGACGTCGTTTTGGGAGTCACGGGGCGCACATTGCTATGTGCGCCCTGGTGCACGGTATAACGATTGAGCTGCAACATGCATTTTTATAACTCATAATATACATTATTCTAAAGTATAATGTCCGTTATTTTAAAACGTAATGTATGTTATATTACCCCAGATGTTTCATTATTTTAACACGTAATGTAAATTATTTTTACTTATAATATTCATGATAATGTTTTGAACCGTGGTCCACACAATAATTTGCCCCCATCAATCATTATTCCATGGACCATGGTTCACACATTTGTGTGAACTATAAATAAAAAGTACATTTTTAATATATTAAAAGTACATTATTTATATACATAAACTATATTATTTAAAAATATATAATTTTTTATATATTGTTAAATAATGTACATTCAGTACACAAATAGTGTACTTTTAGTATATTAAAAATGTATATGACATTTAAGGTTCACACAAATATGTGGACCATGATCAACACAATAATTTACCCTCTCAACCATCTTGGGCCATTATCCGAGCCCATTGGCTACCTTGGATCGCAATTCTAATAATTGTAAAGGTGTTCATAGCCTAATATTCAAGCTCATACTTAGAGTAATCACTTTCTCTCTCATTCAATTATTCCTTTAATTTCTTTTATCATTCATCTTTCCTTTAAAAATTTATAGATATATTATATTTAATATATCTTACAAAAATTATATATATAATTTTTAATATCTCGAATGTGCAAATGATGTTCCCTATTTGAGAAATTTCGTCTCCATCGTCAAGGCAAATAAGAGTCCAACTATACACCCTTTCACTTTTCACCGCATTAGTTTAAAATAGTCAAATCATTCTGATCTTTCCATTAATGAAAATACTTTGACTATTCAATTTTTTTTTAAAAAAATTAGTGGACCATTTAATTAATTTAGTAATATCAAGTGAGATTTTAGGTGGTAAAAACATACTGAAAAATGTTTCATAAATAATTAAGTTTTTCTATTAAATTTTCATTTTTAATTACGGATTAATTAACAACGTATTAGATGTGTGACTACGATGTCAACAGAACATCTAAATTATTTGATTTTTCTTTCGACAGCAACAGCTTAATTATCTGTTTAACCAAGATTTTACGTCATTGACTCATTATTATTCTTGTTCAACGTTTATAAAAACCATTAACAAACTTGCAATAATATGGACCCCACAAGAACAATACTGTGTATTTTTGGGTGAGTCACGGGTCAGTTTAATAATTTTAAATCAAATCGGAATAAATTGTTTGTTATTTAAAAGGGAAACTTTAATACTTTTTAATCAAAAAATAATATTTCATGAGTAAAAAGTTACTTATAAGAAAAAGTATAATATTCCGTACTAATCAAGGAGAAAGTATAATACTTATGAGGAAAAATGTAATATGTACTTTTAGGATCATACCGGGCAACAAATTATGAGAAGTATTCTAAGCTTATTTTAGCATTCCTTGTGGCTAAGAAACACAACCAGCCAGTTGTTGATGAAGAATCATAATGCATGTATGCATGGTTGGCTCTGAACTGGTGTCTGCAGAAGCACTATAAGGGGTTGTGTCGAGGTTATAACTGTTGGAGGATGAAAATAAATAAGTAGGAAAGCTTAGCATAGGGAGTTTATTAGGGAGTTTATTGTCTTTTCCTATCCTTCATTCTTTTGTGTTGTAACCGGTCAATACCTTCACCTTGTGTATATAAACCAATATGTAAAGCTATGAGCAGTGAACAACTTGATATGATATCTTCTTCTTCGATCTGTTTCTGACCTCTCACTATTCATGTAGTCTCTTTTCGACATGGTATCAGAGCCACCACGGTGGTTCACCTACGCCGCCGCCGCCGGCATCGGAGAGTCCAATCGAAGAAGCCATTCGACGACTCCTGATGCTCGATCTCCATTGCAATCTTCTCCGTTCAATCCGCAGAGGATCATTTCTACGCAGAGTAGCAATAATGTCGTCGCTGGATCTCCAATCCGATCAGTAACATCAACGATTCCGCAGAGGAATCTAAGTTCGGAGAAGCAAAACTCCGTAGCCGTTCCGCAGCGGAAGGAAGTAGCTCCATTGTTTCCGAGTCGATCTCCATTTTTAGCGAAATCCATAGCTGTTCCGCAGTGGAACCTGTTCACGCAGATGAACTACCATCCAGAAGATCTGGAAAAGTTAGATTTGAAGACGGATCAGTCCTCCGATTCAGCCACAAAGGCTGTGTCTCTAGTTCCGAAGCGATTGCAGGAGTTCACGAGGGAAGCTGCTAAGTGCTCGCGGGAGCTGACGATTGGAGGCTCCGCCAAGATGTCTAACGTTGTTTTGGAGGCGTCTGAGCGATCCAAAGGGATCGCCGTCGAAGCGTCCGAGAGGTCTAAGGAGATCGTGGCTGAGCAGATCACGTCCACAGTAGTTGTGTCTTTCGATCCGAAATTTCGGAGAGAAACGGAGAAGAGTATGGCCGGAGTTGGAGCAGAGGAAACGGCGTTGCTGGAGACAGAACTCAAGGACGCCGTCTCTCTGTCTCGCCGTCGCCTTCGAGCCAATGCCGCTGCCGGTGAGGAGACGGCGCCGGGAGTGGAGCCACATGAGCTTAAAGGAAACAACACCTTCGAAAACCAGCATGGTGCGGTGATCGTGGATGTTTGTGGGATTAACACTGTTAGCAGGGTTGTTCTATCCAATGCTGGTGCAGCATTTTCTGGTATGGTGGTTGCAAGACTCCAGACCTCCAAACAATCCCCTACCGTTGATGATAAGGTTACTGTGTCTTCAGATGAGTTAGGCCAGATGGCTGTTGACACCAAACAAGAGGCATGTTCTAAAGATGAAAATCAAGCTGTGAATACGTCTCCCAAGTCAGTTACTAGTAGTGGTGTTAAGGGAGGGAAGTCTAAGTCACAAACAAATTCTGCAGAATCTTTGGATCAAATTCCTGATAATACAGACAAAGAGACTGAGAAGCTTCCAGATAGTCAAATACTGGATAGTGTCAAAAAGGAGAATGAGGAGATAAAGCCAATTGGTAAAAGGTTGGCAGAGAGTGTAGTTGTAAACTGTGCTAGCAAGCTAAAGCCTTACATAACTCATGCTGTAAAATCTCTGGGCATTTCTTTGGATGAGTACAGTGAAGTTTTAAGTTTCATACTGCAAGGGACTCCTGTAGCTGCTGAGCATAATAATGATACTTTGAAAGAACTCTCGTTTGCAGTGGAGAGTCTCAAATCTGAGGAAATTCCATGCATATCTGCTGTTGTTGTTGCTTTACTTGCTGAGCCAAAGCCGAGAATTGATTATGTGTTGAAGGCCGTTGGTGGAAGTCTAACAGCTATTCCTGGACTATCTGATATGATTGATGATACTGTGGAATCAATTGTCACGGATGTGCTACAATGGCCTCACAGGATTGTTGTTCCAATTGGTGGCATTCCTGTAGATACAAGTGATTTGGAGCTTAAGCCTCAGGGGAAGCTCACAGTAACAATAATCAAGGCTAGTGACTTAAAGAACCAGGAAATGATTGGAAAATCTGATCCATATGTGGTTGTATTCGTCCGTCCACTGTTCAAAGTTAAAACAAAGACAATTGATAACAACCTAAATCGTGTTTGGAATGAGATATTCAAATTGATTGCGAAAGACAAGGAGACGCAATCGCTTATCATTGAGAAGCCTAGATTTGCAGTAGCAGTCCTCACTACCTTTTGTGTTTAAGCTGGGCATGTAGGTCCTCACTACCTTTTGTGTTTAAGCTGGGCATGTAGGTCTTCACTACCTTTTGTGTTTAAGCTGGGCATGTAGGATCTACACGCTCCAGCTTACGGGGGGGGGGGGGGTGTTGGAGGATGAAAATAAATAAGTAGGAAAGCTTAGCATAGGGAGTTTATTGTCTTTTCCTATCCTTCCTTCTTTTGTGTTGTAACCGGTCAATACCTTCACCTTGTGTATATAAACCAATATGTAAAGCTATGAGCAGTGAACAACTTGATATGATATCTTCTTCTTCGATCTGTTTCTGACCTCTCACTATTCATGTAGTCTCTTTCCGACAAACCGGAGTGGTATGAGTTTTGAGCTCAGAATAAGAAACAAAGTGATCAAGAAAATCAAGGACGATCAAACTCATTGAGGCAAAATTCTAGCTAGAATCATGTTTGCTATCAATGTGGGCAGGGGCGGGCCAATATCAATTCTTATCTTCTTCAAAGACTAACCTAATCATTTTTTCATATCTTTGAAGTTTTGAATCTTTTTATGAATTATTGGTATTGTATATTTTCATTTCTCTTCAAGCAACATTCTCTGGATAACTGCATTAATGGCAACTTCGGTCTTCCAAGTCAAAGAAGATGGTGATTACATAAACAAAGAATTAGATATATAAGATAGATATTAATTTGAAATAAAGAATTAATTGAGATTAGCTAAAGCATAGTGTAATTATGTATATATCATGAGCATGCACAGTATTAAAAAGAAAATATTAGTCTACTCCTCAGTTTTAGTAGATTTGTAATGTAATAATGTATGTTGAAATATATTAAATGAATATTAATATATTTAATTATTCACTCTTAAATCATAATTGACCACCTACATCATCTATGGCTTCGCCCCTGATTATTGTCTTCAACTGCACAACCCCTAGCTGCACTAGAATGGACAACCTAGAAGACTTTTGAAATCCTGAAGATTATGCTCCGAAAGCATATGGTTGTGCTCTTTTGTCCTAAGCTAAGTTTTTCCCATTGGGTTTTTCTTAGACTAATGTTTTTAATGAGGCAACCGATATAGGTGCACTTGAATGGATGGTCCTGAAGACCCTTGAAATCTTGAAGATTATACCCGGAAGGCTTATGGTTGTATTCTTTTTTCCTTAGCTAAGTTTTTTTCCATTAAGTTTTCTTAGGCTAAGGGTTTTAATGAGGCAACCGGTGCAACACATGGTTTCACATACTTCGTGTACTCTTTTCCTCATCTAGATTTTTCTCACTGAATTTTTCTAGCGAGTTTTTTAACGAGGCACGAGTATAGTTTGATAATGGCCAAGGGAGAGTGGTATAAATATTATTATTATTATGGCCATTATCACAAGACCTTTCATTTGTCTTATATTTATTCCATTATTTATGTTGAAGGTTATGAAGAGTTGTATGGATGTATATATATTCATAATGAAGGCTTAATGAATGGATAAGGTTGAATTCTTGAGTTTTATATCTTTTGTTCTACTCTTCTCTTTATTTTTTCATTCCATTTTGCAATCTTACTAATATGTGCAATCGACACATTACCGTACAACAATTTAGTAGATATCGTACAACAATCTCAATAGACTAGGCTAACTTAATGCCAAATTACAACAATCTTAACTTTAAAATTAACCGAACATCGATGAATGATGCATAAACCCCAACAAAGTAATTGGCTCTCGAGATTCCAATTAAGAAGCATATTTTATTTGTGTTTCTTCATTTGAAGATACTCTTGGAGTCATGGTTAACCGTAACGTCATTTTTCGAGTTTTAATATTTTAAATGTCACAATAGATAGTGACAGGTTGAACTCTAAGTCAATTTCGAAATAAAATATTACTGCACTAATTAAATGAAGACAAAAACATATATAAATTAAATAAATTAATTAAATATACTATCACAACCATGTTTTGATCCATCAACTTTGTCTTTATTATTTCATTCAATTATTATATATTGTAAGCTAGCGTGCTAGTGTTGTTTTAATAATAATAATAATAAATTAATAATAATAATAATAATAATAATAATAATAATAATAATAATAATAATTATTATTATTATTATTATTATTATTATTATTATTATTATAACAAACAAAACTAAATACCTTTAAGCTAATTAAATTTAAAATCACTGTTGTAAATTATGGAATTTCCGACCACCTGAAATTGATTTTAAATCAAGTCGGAAGCCTTGTTCCGATCACTTTTGGTATCCGGAAATAGTTTTGGAAAAACTTTTGTTGCTATTTCCGACTACTTTTTTACTTTCGACTTGATTTAAGATCAGATGGTCGGAAATTTTATAATTTTTAGCAATGAATAATGTAAATAAATCCATCAAAGTAGAATACAAATTTGGCCACTTGGTGAGGGAAATTAAGCCGCCACACCTTCTACTTCTATTCAACCACTGCACTGATAAAGTCTTCCTCAAATCCCCCAATTCAAACGCATGTGAAATTTTCTCCCTTCATGTTTTTCTTCAGTTCAAGAACCAAATATACTTCAATCAATTTTTATTGTTTTTTGCACTCTATAATATAGTAGTGTTACAAAGAAGTAGCAGTGAGAAGCTATATATATATATATGGGTATGGAAGTAGTGGTCTGTTTGGTGCTGCTATTCATAGGAGTTGGAGTTTTCACTTTCATACATGTTTGTATAGTTGGGAGGGCATTTGGGAGCATAAGTGGAGAAAGTTTTAACCCAAGGGATATGAATAATACAGGTAGAAGAAGAAGTTCAAGCATGTCCCAAGAGGATATAAAGAAATTGCCTTGTTTTGAGTACAAATTGGAAGATGAAGAAGAAAGTGGCACAGGTGCTATTATTTGTGCAGTTTGCTTAGAGAACTTGAAGAATGGGGACAAGTGTAGGGTGTTGCCAAAATGCAAACATTGCTTCCATGCTCAGTGCATTGAACCATGGCTCATCACTTCAGGTGCTTGCCCTATTTGCAGAGCTGCTACCAAGACTCCACCCTTTACAACTAGTAGTATTGGGGAGGAAAGTAGCAATAATAATTCAAATCAAATTGTGATTGAGTTGACATAATATAGAATGAAATTAAAGCTGAATTTCTTTTGCTTTGTTTTTGTTTTTTAAATCCATTCTTTCAATTTTGTGTTTATTTGTGTTGGGTAGTGGTGGGGTGTTGGGATTCATCAAATTGTTCAATTCAATATGACTTTTGGTGCTGCTGGCCTGGTTGAAAAAATTAACTTAAAATAATACTTTGAATGACTATTTTGAATGGGATTCACTTTTGATTTGGATTAAGTCGAAATTGATTCGGATTCCTCTAAGTTCTAAGGAGGATGTTTAATTTTATTTATTATACGTTCAAAATGAATTATTGGTGAATAAGAAATTGATTCTCAAAGTGTATTCATTTGAGTTGGAAGGCTTTTAAGCAGCCATTATATATATTATCCCACATTAGAAAGGGATATTGGTTTGTACTAGTATAAATATTATTTAATTTTTAAAGAGTTTGAATTGTGTAACATAGAGGCTCTCCTATGTATGAAGGGCTCAATTATTGCGTGGACCATCTATATAGTGTTGTGTAAATCATAACAAAATGTACATTTTTAATATACTAAAAGTACATCATTCGTGTACTGAATGTACATTATACAAAATAATATACTTTCAGTACTCAAATAATGTATTTTTCTTGAATACAATGCACATTTTTAATATACTAAAAATATATTATTTATGTACTGAATGTATATTATTTGATAGTATGATCCACGCAGCTGTAGTGTAGATGATGATTGGCTAAACACTATGGTGGAAATGATGGGTGATGGTTGAATGATATTTCCACAAACATTGCAAATAAACAAAATGGTGGTTGAAGGTTGAAATAATATTTCCACTGGTGCTAATAATGGAAATTAGTTTCTAATTGTATTTTTTTTAAAATTATTTTTAAATAAAAGTTTTATTCTTGTAATATAAGTTGTTTTTATCTTGAATAAAACAATATTGTTCCATTGTTGTTTTTAATATTATTATATGTATGTCAAATTTTTATGTGATACAATTTTTAATGTATAAAGATTCAATACAGAATGTCTTGTGCATATGTAGCATTACATGTGAAATGCTATAATTGGCTTAACGGCCAAAATAAAATGTAACAATCTGTCACATATTACAATTTATTAAGAGATTTTGATTTTAGTTCACTTTTGAATAATAAAGATTTCATAATAATGGAAGAGTTATATAATCGTAAGTGTATTAGCTCAAATATATTGATTATTTTTAATATTATTATTAAAATGATTAAATATGCTCGTTTAACTAGTTTGAAGATTTGGTGGGTACGGACTTTTAATTATGTTACTAAAAATATGTTAATTAACAAGACCAAATTGTATTAGTATGACAATTGAATTTGAGACAAATGATGAAAATATTGGGATAATGAAAATAATTAAACTATGAATAACCACTTGACCCATTTGAGTAGTGGTGTGAGCAATTTATGATGTTATCACTCATGCGGGGTTATACATCTAGATTTGTTAGCTTAAAACAAAGCAAGGGTATAGCCATAGGAAAACTAAACCACTTAAATTAATCCATAGCGATTTATTTGATTTTAAATTAATACAAACGTGAGGTAGTACTAAATATTTATTACATTTATTGATGATAGCACATGCATGATATTACTATGTGTATTTGTCTAAAAGCAAAGTTAAAGTGGTAGATAAATCCATTCTTTATAAGGATGAATTGAAAAATTAGACTTAATTCCATTTTTGCTCCTACATTTATTGGTGGCAATTCACTTTCATTTTTATTAGAACGTCAACTTTTGTTCCTAGTATTATTGTGGCATGATCATTTTTGGTCTTTTATCAACAAAATATTTTAAATATCGTTAAATACAAAGGCATTTCGATCTTCAATTATGAATTTTTTCAAAAAAAATAAACATAAAAAATATAGCGGATCAACCTACTTTGTATAAAAAAAGATTGAAATGTCTTTGTATTTAGCGACATTTCAACGATTTTGTTGGAAGGGACTAAAAATTATCATGCCACAATAATACTAAGACTAAATGAGGATGATCTAATAAAAGAGACTAAAAGTGGACTGTTACCTATAAATCTAAGACCAAAAATGAAATTAACTTGAAAAATGAACATAAAAGAGAAATTAAAGCCATTAAAATTGATCGAGGTTGTGCGTATGAAACATTGAAACATCGATTTGTGATTACTATACGCAAAATTGTATTATATATGAGAGTGTGATACCATATTCACCCCGATGAGAACATAATGAATTGTATTGAATTAATGTCTTACAACTACAACCAACATGGTTGGCGTGGTGGTTTAACACCTCATCCCTTAAGCATGAGGTTGAGGGTTTGATCCCCATCCATGTGAATGTAGTAAACTATTTGATTAGTCCCGGCCCCTATCACTTAGTTTGCTGATCGTTGGCCGAAAAACTTTTGTAAATAAAGTAATAATCTCACACCATAGTTTAGTGATAGAGATACCTGGAACTTTGATCTCACGCAGTAGCAAACGATCCAAGTCCAAGTTACTTCAGCACAAACATCTGCTAGAGTTTTATATTCAGCCATATTTGATCTAGGAGCTGAATATAAGAAATTACATTCCTCATTTGTGCAACTAGGCATTCATTTGACTATGATAAGAAGTTATAATCTGACTCAAATCCATAAAGTCTTAATACTAGTCTTAATAACTCCAATCAAATGATATTGCTAAATATAAAAATCAGACATTAAAAGAGATGATGAATGCTCCGTAGATAAGTTCATATTTGTCCCAAAATATGTTTATGGGTCTCCTTGTAAAAGTTATTTGCCTACCTTACTTATATTAGATAGCCCAGGGTTGTTATAGTTTGAATTATAATATATACAATCGTTATACCTTGCACCACGGTGCGCATAACACTGTGCGCCTCGCCCGTGCCTCTCAAAACGATGTTGTTTTGGTAAGTTATGTAGGGAGTTGACGCGATTATGTGCATTTGTTTATACAATTATGTATATTTGTTTATACAATTATGTGCATTTTTTATACAATCATGTACATCTTTTTTATACAATTATGTACATCCAAAACAAGAAATTTATGTATATTATGTTAAGAGTTGATGTTTATTATGTTAAAAGTTTATGTATATTATGTATTATGTTAGATTATATGTATTATCTTTTTTAAAAAAAGTATGTGTATTTTGTTATACAATTATGTACATTCATGTATACAATTATGTGTATTCTAGTATAAAATTATGTACATTTTTAAACTTGAGATTTTTTTTAAAGAAAATTAACCGCCAACATAGGGTAGCGAAATTTCAAAAAAAAAAAAAAAATCTAAAACGACGTCATTTTGCATTAGGGCGCACAATGCAATGCACGCCTTAGTGCAGGATATAAATTGTCATAATATATATTTGGGTACGGTTGTCCAATGGCCCAGATTCCATAAACCCAAATGTTGTTCAACACTGAGGGGTGTTTGGTTCAAGCTTCCGTTGATTATAAATGAAAGGCGAAAGTCTTATTCCACACAATGAATCATTCCTGATTACCATGATCTTTAATAAGTGATATTTAGAGCCATAAACTGTAATTTTTTTTTCGTCTAATAAGTGATATTTAGAGCCATAAACTGTAATTTTTTTTTCGTCTATAACTTTTTACAGGTTTCCTACAGGTTACTGGTAATAATATTGCTGACATTGAATTTTTTATTAATTTTATTTTGTATTTTTCTTCTTTCGTCTTCGTATTATAATTTTTTTTCGTAGTTTTCTTTTTTTTTTTTCCTAAACGTATAGGCCCACCCCGCGTATTTCGCTTATTGTTTTTCCGATACCAAACTCCGCAGAGCAGGCCGGATCAGAGAAACGAGAAGCAAAAAACGAAGAGCATGCCTATACGTTTAGGGAAAAAAAATACGAAAAAAAATAATACGATGGGGAAAGAAGAAAAATACCAAAAAAAAACTAATAAAAATTTTCATGTCAGCAATATTATTACAGGTAACCTATAAGAAACCTGTAAAAAGTTCTAGACGGAAAAAAAATTATGGTTTATGGCTCTAAATATCACTTATTAAAGATCATGGTATGGCATGAATAATCAATAATGGTTCATGGTGCGGAATGACACTTTAGCCTAAATAAAATAAAAATTTATATTTGCTCGGGAATATAAGATTCTCATGTTTAGTTTAGGTTATGTAATTTTTTCAGGGATGTCACATAATATCCACATTAAATTTTTAGCTATTGGAAGGGAATGTGAGATACCCTCTAATTTTTTAAGTAATCTCACATTCCCTTGTCTTATTACTAATTTTGGGCTTTTGGCATTTTAATCAATTTGTCATATTACCGTTGTCTTATTTACATACCTTTGTTTTAAACCAAACACAAGAATCTAACATTTCCAATAATCTAATATTCCCTAAGGTAATTTAGCATTTCGTGAACCAAACGCCCCCTAAGAAGATGTAAACGCCGACCTTTAATAAGGGAAATAGACACTTGGAGACAAGAAGTGACAAATTATTATGTAGACTAGGGTCTAAAATGACGTTGTTTTGATATAAAAAAAAAATAAAAAAAATCTTACTTTGTGTGCGTGTTAGAATAATGAATATTTTGGAGTAAGATAATGTATTTTATGAGTTAGAATAATATACTTTATATGTAAAATAATGAAATTTTTTAGATAAGATAATATGTTTTATACATTAGAATAATGTATTTTATGTGTTTTTTGAACTGTTTACGCAACTGTAAAGACCACAGTCCACGCCATAATGATTCACAATGATAAGAGAAACTTGTTTCGTTTTTATCGAAAACTTTCACATTACCTTTCTTGCAATGCATTTACCTTTCTTGTACGGAAAGCATATTATAGTTTTAAAATGAGTTAAAAATAAGTCTTAATTCATTCTTCTTTGTTTAACCTCCAAGATTTCTACAAAAATATAAATTCTACTTTGAAAAAATAAATTAATTTA